AATGCCTAGTAATGTAACCCCTGAGGAGGACGATGGCTCGGAAGTGGTCCCGAAACATCGCGATAGCACTGCGATGGTGCTGGGGGCAGTAAGTACTGCCGCCGGGACGGGACTTACAATTAAGCAAAGCGAGAGAGGGGCCCCGGTTGCGTTCCGAACGGAGATCCCGGGACCACCCTTATACGCTGATGGAGACCACCGTGGGGTTTTAGCGGGTAGGAGTCCGGCATAACCTTTTGGGTGCCGCCGCAGCCAAAGGTGTTCATGAGGATTTCCCCACGAAAAAAAGTTAGGTTAGCCCCTGCCCAGTCCTGGGAGTGGATCGGCGAGGCACTGAAGTACCACATGCGATGTGTTTGCTATCATGGGCGGGAAGGCAGGATATTGAGGAGGGTAATGTCGTGCGGCATTCCACAAAGCTCGGTTTTAGGACCGCTTTTTTGGAACTTCGGTTATGACTGGGTGTTGCGGGGAGACCTTCCCCCGGGTGCTGGCATAATCTGCTATGCAGACGATACTCTGGTCACTGCCTGAGGGGAAACCTATGAGGCAGCCGTTCGTATTGCCACTACGTCTGTCGCACAGGTTGGCAAAATCAGGATGTTGGGGCTGGAAGTAGCGTTAAGCAAGTCCCAGGCCATCTGTTTTCACAGGCTTCGAAAAGCACCGCCACAGGGATCCCACATCATTGTTAGTGATGTCCGTATTCAGGTTGGGTCCAACATGAGGTACCTTGGACTCATCCTGGATAGCCGTTGAAGCTTCCGCGAGCACTTTAGGTGCTTGGCCCCCCGGCTAATGGAAGCGACAGCTGCCTTAAAGCGGCTGCTACCCAATGTCGGAGGGTCCGATGCGAATTGCCGCCGCCTCTATTTGGGGGTGGTTCGGTCCATGGCTTTATATGGGGCTCCTATATGGGTTGGGGCTCTGACGGAAAGAACCATCGCCTTCCTGAGAAGGCACCAGAGGCCGATGGCCGTCGGAGTCGTGCGAGGATACCGGACGATCTTCCTTGAGGCGGCATGCGTTTTGGCGGCGTCCCCACCCTGGTATATAGAGGCGGAGTTCCTTGCATCTATGTACGATTGACGCTCGGAACTTCGACACCGAGGGTACCGCCCCTCTCCCAGAGAGTGGCAAATGCGAAAGCTCCACACTCGGCAACTTGTGCTTGAAAGGAGGAAGGAGCGTCTAGCCCACCCGAAGGCAGGAAGCAGGACTGTCGAGGCTGTTCGTCCGGTCCTGTTAGACTGGACAAACAGGCGGCACGGGTCACTGACCTTCCGGCTGGTGCAGGTGCTTTCCGGCCATGGGTGCTTTGGTAAGTATCTGTGCCGTATAGCCGGAAGAAAGCCGACGACTGAGTGCCACCACTGTGGTAGCGACGAAGACACGGCGCAGCATACCCCTTGAGGATTGCCCGGCTTGGACTGAGTTGCGTCGGGATCTCGTGGCTGTAGTGAAGGACGACCTCTCGCTCCCAGCTTTTATTAAAGCTATGGTTGGATACGAGAGTGCGTGGAGTGCTGGAACCTCCTGCGAACAAGTGATATCACAGAAAGAGGCTGCGGAAAGGGAGACGGAAAAGGCGGCAACTATCCCACTCCGCAGCCGGAGAGCTGGGCGCCGGAGAAGAGTATATCAGGCTCTCTTCCACACCTCTTATGTAGGGCCTCGAGGTGGCGCCTACGGTGTGATTGTACGCCCCTACAAGAAGAAGTCATTGAGTCGGACCCTGTAAGGTCTGTCGCCGTCGGGACTGCGGTAGTGTGCGAAAGCGTTCCCGTAGCCCTGACTAATGGTGAAGAGATGAACACAGTGGGACTTTGGCCGGTAGGAGTCCGGCATAACCCGTCTGACGCCTACGCGACAGACAGGTATCCATGAGGACTTCCCCACGTAAAAAAAAGGTTAGGTTACACGATTTTGCTACTTGAAAAATCAGAGCGAGGAGCTCATTCATGTCGCAGCCGCCGCCGGATCAACAAGGTCCAAGTGGAAGTGGGATAATATTTCATGGATGATGGATATATAATAGAGGAGTACCGATCAACGCATTGAACGCGGCGACGACAAAACACGACGAAAAGTACCACAACATTACTGAATATAACAAGAAAACTAAAAATAAAAAACAATTTGAACACGACATTCAAGAAGCGGACATTGAATTTGTAGAAGAGGTGGCCACATTTGCACCGGAAACGACATTCGACAAGGCAGAGCAGTGGTTAGCATACGGCGGAATAGAAGCAAAACACTACATACGACGACGATTATTACTACGTAAACGTACGTATGCTAAATTTCATCCAAATCCATAAAGTAGTTTTTACGTAAAACCGAAACAAACAAGTAAACTTTCACGTTTTAGATGTGGTATCATTTATATTTAAAAAAATCACTATTCATAATAATTCAAAGATAAATATTATGTTCACTTTAGGAGATAAATATATTATTATGCTAGCGCGGACTTTTGGTCTAGACTTTAAAGAACTACGATTCCTTAGTACATTATTTTAATGTATCTTTTATTTTATTCTTTTATTTTTAGTTAATTAGAATGTATTGTACCTACATACTAAACTTCCGAAAAAAATCTCTAAATGGCAGTGAAAAACGTTTTTAAAATCCGTTACGTGGTGATTGCGTAGTTGAAAAGAAGGGTTGTTTTAAAAAATGGAAAACTACCATTTCTTTATTCATTTATTTTATCAACAGAGAAGAGTACTCAACAATCACCGTTTAAAATAAAATATATCGTACAAACTGTAACACCTTATTTCATACCCTGAGGATTTGAATTTTTCAAAAACCTATCGTAGTTAGGGCTACCAGTGTGCCTAGTGCGAGTTCCACAAAATTAATCGAATGACTTCACCATCGCGTTAACCGAGTTAATGTCGTCGGTATCGACAAGCGAAGACGAGCGAGTGTGAGTTACAATCGAAGCTAACCTTTCGATTCGCGTTTGCTCACCGTGAATGGCGTTTATTCCTTCTCTTATGTTGGTAGCATGTTCGTTTCGTGAGATAAACTAACTAAATTCGGAATGACATTTTTATTTAGTGGTCTTAATATTAGCATCTAACTATCAAATTTGTGGTTATTATATCTTTATTACCTATTTGTTTATGTTTCGTAATTTGATCAAGGTTTCGACACTCGACAGTTTGTGTTAGTATAATGAGATTGTGAATTAGATATATCGTCCGTGATTGTTAATAATATAACGTTTAAATTAAAAGCAAAAAACATAAAGATGTGTTCGTTCTAATATGCTTTTATGGTAAAATTTTTGGAGCAGTAAATGGAATTTAAGTTATTAAGTGTAAACTGAAGTTTGATACGTGTGTTTTGTTACACGTTACTACACATTCGTACCTACACAGGTAACGCGGACTAGAATTTATTGGATTTTCGGCATGAAGGCCTCGGCAAAGCATCGTCTAATGCAAGCGATCAAATGGTCTGTATAAAAAATTTAGAAGGAATTGATTTAATTATTGAATAGAGATGGTAGACCTTAGATTTATCAAATGCTCCAAAATGCTCTTGTAACTTAAATTGCCTGTTGTTGGGTTGTAACAGTGGACGATAATATGCACAAGCTCTTGCTTCAACACTGGCGTTATAATAGCAGTCATCTATAATTATTACTTATTTATGCCTTAGCGGCTGCAAACGTACTCCAAGCGAAAAAAATAACGTCCTGCTATAATTATACATCGTTCACATAAAACGAAATAAAATTAACTTTTCAACAATTATTCTCACTCTTCCATCTCACCGTAAAAACTATAGACATCCAGTCTATGTTATAAAAGACAGTTACTGTCCTATTTTCAGATTCTACATATAGCGGTTTGGGCTTAGAATGGGTGAGTTAACCGTCAAATGCCTTTTGTACGCCGATGATCAAGTCATACTTGCGTCGTCGGCAGCCGAGTTGCATATGATGGTTACATTAATGAACAGGTCATTAAAAGAAAGGGGAATGAAAGTGAATGCAAGTAAGACGAAAGTTATGGTTCTTAAAAGAGAAAGAAAGTAAAACGATACGTGAAATAAGAATAGAAGTCGAGCAAATATATTAATTTGTATATTTGGGATGTGTATTCAGCAGGGATGGGAGATATGATAAGGATATAGAACAAGTGAATGCAGTAAATAAAGTAAATGGGTCTCTACACTCTATTGTGAAATGTCAGAATGTGCCAAAAAATGCACGTATGGCTAATAAAAGCGCTATATTAGTCCCTACTTTAAAGTATGGTAGTGAAAGTTGGGTGTGGCAGAAGAAGAGTATATTAGGGCTGAATCTGAGTGACAGGGTGAGAAATTGTGTGATAAAAGAAGAGTGTGGTTTGCAAGATGATGCGATGACAAGGATTAAGAAAGAAATGCTTCGGTGTTTTGGCCATGTAGAAAGATTGAATGAGGAAAGACTGACAAAGCAAATATATGTTGCAGAAGTGAATGTAAGAGTCGCAATCGTATGCGTAGGTATCTGGATGTGGAAGAGGCGAGAGAGGTATGTCAGTATCCTGCTAAATGGAAGTCTGCAGTTCCTGCCTACCCCTCTGGGTGACAGGCATGAGTGTTTATGTTATATATATATACCTAAAAAAAAAAAAAAAAATACACCTGGGAAATTCCCAGGTGTCGTTACCCCGTGATGTTGGTAACCGGACTGGCAACCGGCATCACCCCGTGTCGGCAGGTGACTTTGGCATACACGAAACCATACAGAAAGCAAAAGCCTTCGTGTACCCGACATTACCCGAACACGGAAGCAGCACATACACCGCAGCCTTCGCGAGGCGATCGGTCACTAAAGCAACAGCAATTTTCACGGCAATTGACATAGCGTGGGCATTTTACCAGGAATACAAGATCATAAGGCACGCCCACGTGCGGCAGCAAATTAGAGATAAACTAGACCATCTGGACAAATTGCGAGGCACCAACGCATACGCCAAGAAGAGGTGGTGGTAATGGCTCAACAAGAACAGCCCGCCCCCGATGTAGGGCGCGTCGACAGGATCCTCAACTATTTACTCGGCAGACCCCAACAACCAGAAGACGCAGCGATTCACCCCATCTTCATCCCACAAGCAGCCGGCCCGGAAATAGATGCAGCCATCGAAAGAGTCAATCGAACTGCCGAGCTTGTGGAAAGATTAACACCATACGATGTAGACACAGCTGTGGCCTATCTGGACGTACGTATGTACGGTCAAAAGATCACAGACCGGTACAGAGCACAGTGCGCCACACTGCTCACACAGGAAATGGACAGGCAGGGTTTGCACAACATCCGGCGCCGTAAACCTATCATCACCGAGGCCATAGAGATCCACATACGAGAACGAATACGGACAGAACTTAGGTGGCGATTCGATGATATAGAAGCTGTCAACAAATTCAACGGCGCGATCGAAGGCACGGTTGAGAGGCGCCATCCCTGGTTCTACTGGAAAACTGAACGCACTCAGTTAGCCGGTTCTTTAAACATCCTCGGGCCCTGGCAAGACGACTCATCATTCAGACTATCTCATATTCTAGCACCCGTGGCCCTGACGGTCGGAGCAAATATCGGTGTGGCAGCCGTTGGTTGGGGCATATACCAACTGGTGAAACGACTCACTTCCCCTCACTCTTGCGGACAGATAGCTTGTTATACTACCCTAAACACAGTTTTACAACACTTGCCGCTTACGCAAAACGGCATCAACCCCAATCCACAGCAGAATATGACCATTATCGATCGTTGCTACAAGCATATCCGAAAATTCCTCTGCCATCCGACGCCTTTTAGCCGAGCAGAGTACATTGCAGAGATACATGATCCAAGTGCTCGAAGGCTATACGCAGAAGCAGCCGGAAGGATGGATATCGGTGATCCAGTCCTGGCTTCCGTCACGCCTTTCACAAAGATAGAGAAAGTAAAGGCGACGAAGTATAAAGCTCCGCGCATGATTCAGGGGGGATAAGTCGCTCGCGTCCGTAGGCTTCGACCACCTAATCCTAGGCCCACCCTACACGTTTCCCCCGCGTGGTGCTAAAAGAGCGACAAAGCCGAAAGAACAGACTCGGCTACTCGCCGTGTGGTAGCGGCGTAAAATATGCCACACCCTAGTTTTCGCACCATGAGGCAAAAAGGAAAAGAAATGGCCCCGAGTTCCCGGCGCCCCTTTAATGGGGCAGGGGTGCGAAGAATCTCCGGGAGGAAAACCGGCGACGAGGTTCGCCACCCGTCACGTTCTGTCTCCCGGAGGGGCGAAAAGAGGATTGCGGAGGCCCGTCTAGCTACGCTGAATGTATGTGGAACAATGAATGATAAGATGGATGAAGTATGCGATATGGTGTATGATAGAGGAATAGATGTGTTATGTGCAAATGAGACGAAGCGGAAGGGAAAGGATGTCACTACACATGGCATATATACCGCTTACTGGTCCGGTGTAGACGAGACCAAGCGAGCATGCCAGGGAGTCGGTATCATCCTTTCAGAAAGAATGGGTCAAAGTGTGAAAGAGTATGAATGTGTAAGCCCGAGACTGCTATGGATACGAATAAAAGTGGGCCTAAAGAAGTTGTTTGTTCTAGGGGTCTACGCCCCAGACATGTCTAAGCCCACTTGTATCCGAGAGCAGTTTTGGGAGATGGTAAGGATGGTGTTAATGAAATGTAAGGAAAATGAAAATATTGTTATGTTAGGAGATTTTAATGGAAGGGTTGGGGTGAGGAGGCTTGGCTATGAAAGGATACTGGGAACGTTTGGTGATGAAAGTATTAATGAGAATGGTGAAAGCCTCCTCACCGTATGTGTGGAAAGGAATCTTTTTGTGACGAACACTTTCTTTCGTCATAAGAAGATTCACATGTATACTTGGGAAAGAGGTGATGATAGAAGCATGATAGATTTCATAACTGTGGATGAAAGAATGAGGAGCGCAGTGGTGGATAAAAGGGCTTACCGGGGGTCCGACGTAGGGACGGACCACTACCTGGTCTTATGCCGAATTAGGGGTTTATTCAGACGTTGGCGGCATAGGACATCTGTGTCTACTACTGCGTTACAGCGTATAAGAATTGAGAGGTTACAAGATGAAGATGTGAAAGACGTACAAATGCAGACTGAGAGAAAATATAAGTAATTTGGATGAGTTGTGTGTGAATGAGTTAGACTTGGAGAATGTGTGGCATAATGTTAAGAAAGGTTTGGTGGATGTAGCTACCGAAATATGTGGTGTTAGTAAGAGAACGAATGAAAGAAAAGACAATACGTTATGGTGGGATGATGAGGTACGTATGGAAGTTGAAGCAAAGAAGAGAGCATGGCTGGATTTACTGCAAAGCTGGTAATTCTGGCGGTAAGAATGATGAGAATGAAAGAAAAAAGGCAGAGTTTAAACGTTTAAATAAGAGAGTAAAAGAATTAGTTGAAAGGAAAAAGCAAAAAAGAACGGAGAAGAATGATAGAAGAATATCGGATAACTTCCAGGCAAATATTAATATGTTCTGGAAACTCGTAAGAAATACCAGGGGACTTTCAAAACAGCCTAGATTGAATGCGATACGAGTCGAGAATGGCTGTATCCTGAATGATGAAGTGTTGAGTCTAAAGAAATGGAAGGAATATTTTGAAAGCGTATTTATGAGTGAGGAGAAGTGTGAACTAAGTGAAATAGAAATTCCGAAAGAAGATGAAAGAGATAAGTATAGATGAAATACTGAAAGCAATGAAAAGCATGAAAGTAGGTAAGGCATCCGGATATGATAGAGTTTCACTCGAAATGCTAAGGGCTGGAGAGGACGTGGTGGCAGGCCTGCTGTACACCTTGTTTAATTTAAGTTGGGAACTAAAGGGGGTACCGGGAGACTGGTGCAAAGCCGTGATAGTCCCAATATATAAGGGAAAAGGGTCACAGCAGGACTGTAAAAACTACCGTGGTATCAGCCTTCTTAGCATTGTGGGAAAACTGTATGCTAAGGTACTAATTGAAAGAGTTATGAAAGAAACTGATGAAAAAAATTGGGATGTGCAAGCGGGATTTTGAAAGGGATTGGGGTGTACAGATCAAGTCTTTTCCATGCGCATGATCGCGGAGAAGTTTTTGGCGAAAAACCAAAAGGTTTTTTGTGTGTTCATGGACTTGGAAAAGGCTTATGACAGAGTGGACAGGGATGTGTTGGATGGCAAACGCTGAACGCATTTAGGTTGAGCGCTGGTTTGATACAGGCATTAAAGTCTCTGTATAGGGACTCGAGTGCTTGTGTTAGAATCAACGGGGTCTCCTCGGACTGGTTTGGCATCCATAAAGGTGTCAGACAGGGCTGTGTAGCTTCCCCGTGGCTGTTCAACCTATTTATAGACAGTTGTTATGAAAATTTGAAAGTTGAAGGATGTCGGTTAAGAATGGGTGATTTTACCATCAAATGCCTTTTGTGCGCCGACGATCAAGTCATACTTGCGTCGTCGGCGGCCGAGTTGCATATGATGGTTACATTAATGAACAGGTCATTAAAAGAAAGGGGAATGAAAGTGAACGCAGGTAAGACGAAAGTGATGGTTTTTGAAAGAGAAGAAAGCAAAACGGTATGTGAAATAAGAATAGAAGGAGAGTTAATTGAGCAAGTGGATGAGTTCGTATATTTGGGATGTGTATTCAGCAGGGATGGGAGATATGATAAGGATATTGAACGACCAGTGAATGCAGGAAATAAAGTAAATGGGGCTCTACACTCTATTTTGAAAAGTCAGAATGTGTCAAAAAAGGCACGTATGGCAATTCACAGTGCTGTATTAGTCCCTACTTTAACGTATGGTAGTGAAAGTTGGGTGTGGCAGAAGAAGCACGAGAGTAGAATAAATGCAGTAGAAAAGCGGTCGCTAAGGAGTATGTTAGGGCTGAATCTGATGACAGGGTGAGAAACTGTGTGATAAAAGAAGAGTGTGGTTTGCAAGATGATGCGGTGACCAGGATTAAGAAAGGAATGCTTCGGTGGTTTAGTCATGTAGAAAGAATGAATGCGGAAAGACTGACAAAGCAAATATATGTTGCAGAAGTGAATGGAAGAGTCGGAAAGGGACGTCCTAGGCGGAAGTTTGTCTACCAAATTGGCGATATACTAAAAATGGGCCAAATTTAGAGTACCTTTAACCGACGAGCATGTATACGTAGGTATATGGATGTGGAAGAGGCGAGATAGGAGGTACGATTACTACGTTACACATACTAAATTGTAGTTTGCACATTAGTTCAAATCGGGCCCCAATTTCATTTTTGCCCCGGGGCCCTTGGCTGCATAGCTACGTCACTGAGGGTAAGTTCTCAATATTTAGATGGTATGATATTTATGTGATGAATATGTTTTTTCCATACTAATATGTGCAGATGTAGCAATAAAAAGTAATCATTTTAGGTAAATGCCAGGTTCAGTACCAACCCTAAAGTTGTATAATAAGAAAATACAATGAAAAGAAGATGTCTATGTGAAATAAATTTAGACGTTCCAATAAGGTATAACTTTCTGTCTTACATACATAAATTTTAACATTTCCATTATCATGTTTGTAACGATTTAGTAACAAAACTACATAGTATGCGTGTGTTTTTATTGAAGTTCTAAGCAGAACAAATTGAATTGGGTAAACCCGATAATGGAGACACAAGAGCAACATGATAACATACAGTCCCTGGCCAAATTATTAGACGCACTGGAGTTTTTTTTTAATAACTACATGTTTTGCACTAGTTTATGTGCAATACTTTTATGTAATATATGTAATGGGTTTTTATTCAGGAATTTTTTATATATATCCTATTTGTATATATTTTTAATGTATTGCATTACAATGTTAACCAATTGACACAAGAACATAGCGTGTACAAATCTGTTTTAGTCGCGTTCTCGCGTGCTTCAATTGTGGACGAATTTCTTTCGCTTTATGCGCTGTGTTTATTTGTTTCGCAGTTTTATACTACGCATTTGTATAAAACGTTTATTTTTTGTGCAGTGTTTAAATATGTTTATTTTTTGTGCAGTGTTTAACCCTTTTCAAGGCAGTGGCCACTATATTGCCACCAATTTTAGAATTTTTTTTCGGGCAACTTTTTATCTTTCTGGTATTTTTTTTTTACTGGCAAGCTTGAGATGTCCTGTCAACGTATATTTTTTGTTGTGTGGGAATTGTCAAATTCAATTGACACTTTTCAAACTTTGAAGGGTAAAAACCGGTGATTTTGTGTAACGTGTAACAAATCTAGCTCAATCTTTAAAATCTTTTGGGAAACTGGTAAGAGTTTGCATTTATTTCAATAATTACGTATGTCACTTGTACGACCGAGTAGTATTTTGTAAAATTACGTTTATTATTTTGATAAAATTTTGTATTTAACTGGTGGCAATATATATGCCACTGCCCGTGTAGATAATAATATTACAGTATTTACTGCAGGTGAAAATGCCGAAAATATTGTCTGATGACGACATAAAAAATGCACTGGACGAGTTATTTGGCATACCCGACGACCCCGACATTTCGGAGGACGAATACGAACAAGAACCGGATAATTTAGATACGTATGAAGGTATGACGCTATATGATATTCTTAGTGGTGCGAACGAAACCGATTCTACCCAGGAGAAAAACGACTCTAATTTAGAAGAATCATTTAATCAGCCGTCAACATCTGGTCCACATTTAGACAGCCGCAACAATGAGTCTACTCAGGTGACACACGACTCGGACGACGAACGTGAGACATCAATTCATTCCTCAACATCTGGTCTTCATTTAGACAGACGCCGTAACCGTTTACTTGACTCTCCTCCTGAACCACCATTCAGCCAACTTCCTACAGCTGTTGATACATTTTCTGAAACTGATGATTCGGATGGTGCAGAAGATCAGTGGAAAAAAGTTATCTGGTCTCAACAACCAAACATGGATGATTTTGACCGTGTACGTTTACAAGGAACTCAATTCCTTTCATCCCAGACAAGGCCTACAACATATTTCACACGTTTCTTCGATGACGATATTTTTACACATATTGTAACACAAACCAATCTCTATGCAGAACAAAATCAAAGTCGTAACTGGACACCTGTTTGTTGTGATGAAATTAAAGCTTTCATAGGCATAATAATTCTAATGGGGTTCCATCCATTACCGACTGTTGATTTATATTGGGCTAGCGATCCATTTTTCCGCGTAGATGAAATCGCATCCATAATGCCAATCAAAAGATTTAAAAGAATCCTCGAAAACCTGCATTTGAATAATAATGAGCAAACGCCTCAAAGAGCTGCAACAAATTTTGATAAATTATTCAAAGTAAGACCAATACTGGATTTGCTGAATATTGCATGTCAGCGAGAAGCGAAAACAACATCGTCACAATCAATAGATGAATCGATGATTCGATTCAAGGGACGTTCAACACTAAAACAGTACATGCCCTTCAAACCCATCAAGAGAGGATACAAAGTTTGGGTAAGAGCTGATAGCAAAACTGGTTATGTTTACGAATTTAGCATTTACACTGGTAAATGTGAAGACCAAGCTCCTGAAGTCGGTCTAGGAGTCAAAGTAGTGAAATCTCTCACACAAAAACTCATTGATCAAGGCTTCCGAGGACACTTTTGACAATTTCTTTGCATCTTATGAGCTCTTGCAATATTTGTTTGAAAACGGAATACATGCCACCGCAACCGTCAATTCTGGGAGATCTGATTTGCCACTAATACTAAAAAACGCTAAGAAAAAGAATGTATCAAGACAAGAAAAAATACATTTAGGGTAGGGAGGGGGAATAGCGCTCACTGTGTAATGGCGCTCACCTCTATATCTCTGTCAAAATGAAACGTAGCAACACGCCACGTCGCGTGAAGCGCGGGGGGAGGGGGCCTCTAACAGACAGCGATACAAACGGACAATCAGCTCGCGTCATACGACCGTGAAGTGCGTTTCTTCGTTTACGTCCGCGCTGATCTAATTTTTGGTTAGGTATTTTTTGTCGGTAAGTCCAAAACTTTAATGCTTATTTAATTATTAATTTTACTTTTCTGACAATAAAACTATTCTATTTTGTGATAATGCAATCAATTTTCAACAATTGTGTAGGATTTTTTTTAAATTTCAAATTAATTACAAAACGACCGTTTGGGGTTATACCGCTCATCTGAGCGCCATTACCCCTTAGTGACCTATTCTTTTATTGTTTTAGATATGCCAAGAAATCGTCAAAGGACCACCGCTAAAGCGGCTTGGACAGAAGAAAACCTTCAATCTGCTAAAACTGCGATTGAAGGAGGTTTGTCCAAAAGAAAAGCCGCAAAACAATATAATATAACATTTACTACTTCGAGAGATCGACTAAAAAATGGAAACATGAGCAACCCAAGACTAGGACGCAAGCCTGTTTTCACCCAACAGCAAGAATCTGAAATTGCTGAACAAGTTAAGATGCTGGGTTCGCTATACTATGGACTCAATGTCGCAGATTTGCGTAAACTTGTTTATAAATATGCTGAGCTCAACAATATTAAAAACAATTTTGATCAAAGCAGCAAAACAGCTGGATTGGATTGGGTACACGCCTTTATGAGACGCAATCCTTCAGTTTCTATACGCAAAGCTGAAGCGACAAGCTTAAATAGAATTTCTGCCTTCAACAAAGAAGAAGTAACACATTTCTATGATAAGCTTGGGGACTTAATGGAAAAACATAAGTTTATTCCAAACAACATTTACAATGCTGACGAAACTGGTATCACCACGGTGACAGACCCAGGAAAAGTGCTCGCCGAAAAAGGACAAAGAAGAGTCGGATCTGTTACAAGCGGCGAACGAGGAAGCAACATAACAGTTATGTGTGCGATGAGTGCAGCCGGAAACTTTATACCGCCTCTGTTTATTTTTGCCAGACAGAGAATGACGCCTTTATTAGAAAAAGATGGACCAGCTGGTGCATTATACACCAACTCTAAAAATGGCTGGATAAACGAAGATTTATTTGTCACTTGGCTCAAACATTTCGCAGCATTTGTTAAGCCTACCCATGAATCACCCGTGTTGTTAATTCTGGACAATCACAGCAGTCACATTTCCCTTCAAGCTTTTAATTTTTGCAAAGAAAACCACATCACAATGCTTTCCATTCCACCACACAGTTCTCACAGAACACAGCCGCTGGATGTGTCTTTTTATGGGCCGCTGAAAGCCACTTATAGGCATGAATGCAACAGGTACATGAAGACACATTTAATGTCTAAAATAACTCCTTACGATGTTGTAGGTCTTTTCAATAAAGCATATGTACAAGTTGCGAATATAAGTAAAGCAGAATCTGGATTTCGAGCCACGGGAATTTACCCATTGGACCCAAATGTTTTCACTGATCAAGATTTTCTGGCAGCGTCGCTGATGGCACAAGAATCGGTACAAATCGCTGAAAATCAAGACCCAAATGTCAAGAATTTTGAAAATGCGCAGTCTAATGGTATGGCCATAACTTCAGGACATATATCTCCTTTGGCAGGACCATCAAATAAGGATCAATGCTCTGAATCTGTTTTGGCAGTTGCTTGTAACCAAGAACTTGTTGATGAGCAAAGAACTCTGATATCTTTTGCTGCTATAGCTACGACACCAACCATTGCACCATCTTCTAAGCCAGGTCAAAGAAAGCGAAAACAACATGCTACCATATTAACTGCGACTCCTATGAAAATTATTTTAGAGGATAAAGAAAAGAAAAAAATAGCGAAACTCAATAAGACTGGAAAAGATGATAAATCAAGACTAAAACAAGTTGTTAAAGAAAAGAAGAACAAACATATGAAACAAAAATCTTACAAGAGAAAAATTTTACAAGAAAGTTCTTCAGAGAGTGAAGATGAAGAGCACCTTTGTGACGATGACAGTAATGACGAAATTAATGTGGATGATGAAAATCATAACAAATGTATTTTTTGCGAAGAATTTGGAAAAAATAACGAGTTGTGGTATCGCTGCACTATCTGCGGACTGTGGGCTCATGCTATATGTTCAGGGTGGGATTCGCCAGATGGATACATCTGTGATTTATGTGTCCAAAAATAAAATATTTCTATTTCTAATTTGTCTTACCTCTAATAATAATTATTATTTTATATTACATTATAATAATTGAAGTTGATTTGACATCTAAGACTTTACTATATTTGTTAAATTGAAAAAGGCTAATCTTACGTACAAATGGGGATGATTGATGCTAATTTGTGATTGTAGACTACACTTTTATTGTATAAGGTTGATCTCATTAATATTTCTTTAATTAAAATGTATCTCACATGTTGTATTCCAAAAAATATGTTTGAGCGTCATTACCCCGTACCCTGAGCGGCATTACCCAAAGTCTGGGGCAATGCCGCTCAAACATGTTTTTTTACTAATGTTTTCCTACTACTAGCAGGTGAAAGATACATGCTTTTGTTGTTAAATTGTTGATTACTCAATAATTAAAGACTTTGTTACTTTTCTTCATTTTGATTTGTAATAAATAATTTAAAAAATACACCATGTTTTCCTTAAGTGAACGCCATTCCCCCTCCCTACCCTAAGAGAGAGGTGAATATAAATGGCGTACTAAAAATAATGTTTCCTTTATCATGTGGCAGGATACAAAAATAGTTACAGTTTTGACCACCGCATTTCACCCCAAAATTTGCCAAACTACATGTGAAAGAAAGCAGAGACGGTACAAAAAATACGTATCATTGTCCAACAGCGGTACTTGAATATACAAAACGTATGGGCGGTGTGGATCGTTTCGATCAGAAGCGGAGTACCTATGAAGTCGGCAGAAGAAGCAAGAAATGGTGGCTTCGCCTTTTATTATTTTTGCATAGACCTAGCAATAACAAACTCGTACCTTCTCTACAGTTCAAACAGCCGCGTCCACAGTATTATGCCACAATTAGCGTTTAGTTTATCTTTGGCACGTGGTCTTATAAATAATTTTTCATCAAGGAGAAAGAGCTTGGATACCCAACCAATGTATCATAATAAGAAGCCCATGATGTCAGATAATTACCAAAAAAACCGGCTCTGTAATCGATGACCTTCGTTTTGCCAGTGTTGGAACACATAAACATGAAGGTTTGCCAACTTATCGGCCATGTCGTGTATGTAGCACAAAGACAAACAATAAAAGGTCAAAAATTCAATGTTCCAGATGCAAGGTTCCACTCTGTGTGGTACCTTGTTTTGATATTTACCATGAACAGAAATAAAAAGTTGCATTAAGAATAAACCTTATTTTATTTTTGATAGTCTTTTACAGGCAGCGGCAACTATATTGCCACCAAATTTTCCAAAATTTTCCCTTCGATTTTCACGAAAAAAAATACATAAGGCATTCATAATATATTGGCTTACAAAATCCGTTTAGTTTAAATTTGTAACTGTCCTAGTTCCCTCTGCCTTATAAAGGATTAAATAATAACTGGGCACATTTTAATCATGGGTAAAAAAGGCGATCTTTCACCACGGATAAAAACTGAAGTAAAGGCCCTCGTGAATGCTAAAATATTTTCTAACCGCGAAATATCACGAATATTAAAGGTCTCCGAAGCTAGAGTACGACGCATAAATAATAAAATTGAGTCTGGGGAGGAAATGAGCCCGAAACGAAAGAACATTTGCGGCAGAAAGCCTATTTTTACTCCCAGGACAGAAAGATGTTTAAAGAAAATTTGCCTGGAAAACAGATTTGCAAGCACAAAACTGATTAAATCGCAATTCCAAGATTCTAATGTGAATTTTTGTGAGCGCACTGTTCGAAGAAAAGATTTAGATTTTAGAACCTGCCGGCCCGCCAGGAAGCCCAAGTTAACAGTTACAATGAAAGCAAAGCGTCTGAAGTGGGCCAAACAGTGGCGTGATAAAGATGAGGACTTCTGGAGATCAGTAAATTGGTATAATATGATTTTCTACAACATTTAATATCATTTTCTATAAAATAAAGAAAGACCAGCACAGATGTTTATAAATAATTATAATAATGTCCTCCATACCAGGGATTGAATAACCGAAAAAATTATGGTACAGACGGTAAGCGGTATGACGTCATACCTTTAAATTTCGATACCTTAAAATAAAGGTTCCTTTAAATTACTATACATTAAAGTAACTGTACCATTACTTTTTCAAGTATCTAAATTATAAAATAAAGGTATAAACCATTGATTTATATGTTACACTAGATAAGTAATTTCCGCGCCAAAGCGTTGTCACTTCACATAAGGCCACAGCCTTATACTCAGCGAACGTCGGTTCAGTGTTCAAGGTGACGCCGTCCGAGTTAAGCCGAACGATTCACAACAAAAAATGGGTAAATGCGTAGTGAAAGAATGCGTTTCAAGGTCACAAAAACATAATAAATCAAGCGGAATCACTTTCCATACGTAAGTTTTAATTTATATATTCATATTAACGTTTAAAACACTAAAAAATTAAATAAAATATCGAATATTGCAATTTAGGTTCAATGTTGCCACTTTTCCGCCTTTGTGATTTTTCCACATTAATGGGAGACTGTATAATTTATGGAATAAGTTAATTTTGTTTTAAAATAAACAAGTAAAATTGATTGCTTAAAAATAAAAACTATGTTTCAACCTTTATACAAAATAATTATTCTTATTTTAGTTTATTCATGAATGGTCTATTAATTATATTTTATTATTTTATATTATATTAATAAATTTGCAGTGTACCTAAAGATGCAGTACTGTATGCAAGGTTGATTGAGACTAACGTAATGAAATATATCGCAACATATAGACTTTCACAAGATCATCTAGAATTATTTTTTGGTTGTATCCGGCAAAAAGGCGGTTACAATAACAATCCTAATGTTGTGCAGTTTAAATCAGCCTACAAAAAATTATTAAACCATCTTGAATTAAAAAACAGTTTTAGAGGCAACTGTGTGCCCCTTGAAAAAATTAATGTCTTATGTTCTACAACATCTACAATTGATAAGGACCATATAGAAGAAATCGACAAGTCTTCCTTTGATCGTCGCCATGACGACATTGACGAGGAAAAACCACAAACCATAAAGAATAATCAAAATGAAACAGATTTAGAAAAAGAATGGGTCGTGCTACAAACGAATGATAACATTTTTACAAACATAACAAAACAAGTCATTGGATATATTTCCGGCTATATTGTTGACAAAGTTGGTCAAAATCTTAAATGTGAAATATGCATCAAAGCTTTACTAGCTACAGAACTGGAGTGGTTTCATAAGCTAATTAATATAAAAGATAAAGGAGGTTTATGTTATCCATCAAAACATGCGTTTGAAATATGCATGAGTTGTGAAAGCACTATAAGACATGCCATAAAACTTTCCGAAACTAAGTCTTTGTCTACTAAATTTGGTCTTATGACATTAGCTACAAAAACATTAAAAGTGCTTCAAGGAAATATATTATTAAAAGAATTTGCAATACACCCGGGGAATCATTTATCTTCAATACAAGTTGATCATTCCCTTTTATTGATTAATGCCATTATTTATAAGTACTTAAAAATAAGATTGTACCACGAAAGTAAATTATACACTCAAACACACAAAAAAAGAATCCAAAAGACAATTATATAACAAATTGATGCTTCATAGCGGAGTTTGAGAGCATGGACTATTATGAATATTTAAGCGGATTAGTATTACAGATTAAAACCATTTATATTATCTTACAAATAGACTTCCGCAGAGTCACGCCTGAATCCATTAACTATCCTCAGTATTGTTGCAAAAAAAATATAAAAACTTTTTAAAGTTGTTAAGTAGTTTAGAAATTCTATAAACAAGAAAATCAACGAAATTTATTGATAACCAAAGTTTTTGTAGCTAATGTCATGAGACTAAATTTAAGAGACAAAAACTTGGTGATGATTTCACAACTTATGCATATTCAACACAGATCTCGCTTAAGAAACCTAAAATTGTTTTTTTTTATTTGCTTTATTTTTTGTTTGATTTATTAGTACAATAGAAATAATATATAAAAACATATTTTATTTCATTACTTATGCTAACTTCTGTTCATATAATAAGAAAATATACAAATTTAAAATAAAAACAATTTACTGCAACTTTAAAAAAAAAACTCCTTTATATTGCTCATTTTGGGTAAAATTTCATAAAGTATGCAACACCAACCCGCCACTGCATGTTTGTGTGTCTATCTTTATCTAATCTTAGGGACGATATTGTTTTCCGCGACCTGTGTAAGTGAGACAGATATATGTTTACTTAAAATTTTTAATGATTTCAAAGCTACGTCGTCGCATTTGGATAGTGGTTACACTTTGTTCGACGCGCGGCAATGTGGTTTGCTCCTCTAGTCTTGTATAACTCAATGGTATAAACAAATAAATTGTACGCCGCCGCTCGCGCCGAGGCGTCGCGCAACGTGTCGGCCGCATTGGTAAGAGAGTTAGGTACTTGATCGAAAATTTAGCCTCGGCCCCTCGGCAGCTAAACAAAGTAGGTAGATTGTTTTGCCATTTTGCCGCCATTCATATTTTTATCTAAATCACAAGTGTGCTTTGTTAAAACTTTACAATTAGATTGTCGTAAAGATAGATAAAAGTAAGTACAAACTAATTAAGCATGTCATAACGATATTATACAAATTTGCATTTCTTTATACTTTTTTAGAGTGAGGCCGAATGAACGTAATTTTTCGAGTATATGTAGTCATCATGTGTTCGAATAAGCACCATCATTCCCCAGATATTTTTGTGAATTTGGAACGACGAAGGTCTCCTTCTGCTCCACGACCTAAAATAGAAAAACACCCGGAGAAAGAAAAAACATCGCCCTGAATGTTTCCCCTGCATGGCTATCCAACGAGAAGAAAAGGATCAAAGGAATGACATTTTTAGCTTCATCATTATCATCATTTACATCCCTTCATAAGTCCACTGCTGCTGCATAGGCATCCCCCAAGGTTTGCCACAAAGCACGGTCCTGAGCCACCTGCATCCATCGACTTCCTGCATGTTTTATTTACCAGGTCATCATTCCGTCTAGTGGGCCTACACTACGCCTACCAGTACGAGACTGCCACTCGAGAACCTTTTTTCCCCATCAGTTATCGGTTCTTCGAGCTATATGGCCGGCCCATTGCCACTTCAGCTTACTAATACGTTGGGCTATGTCGATTACCCTAGTTCTACTGCGGATATTCTCATTTCTAAGTTTATCATGCAGAGAAACCCCGAGCAAAGCCCTCTCCATAGCTCGCTGAGCAACCATGATCGTCCTCATACGGGCAGCAGTTATGGACCATGTCTCAGATCCGTAAGTCATCACTGGCAACACGCACTGGTTGTACAATCTAGGTTTAAGGTTTTGATCTTACGAGAAGATGTGTCGTAATTTCCCGAACGCTGCCCAGTCGAGTTGAATCCGTCGATTAACCTCTCGATCGAAGTTAGACTTACCTAGTCGGACTATTTGTCCCAGGCAAACGTACTCATCAACAACTTCGAGCTTAGTGCTCCCAACAACTACCAGTATAGGCGTGACATGGACATTACACATGATCTTTGTTTTGTCCATGTTCATCTTAAAACCTATACGTTGGGATACACTATTGAGGTCATTGAGCATATTGCTTAGATCCTCCAGCGATTCCACCATAAAGACTATATCCAAGGTGAGTAATGTACTCGCCATTGATGATAATACCTTTCCAATTCAGTAGCTTGAAAACATCTTCCAATGCAGCGGTGAAGAGTATGGGTGATATAACGTCAACCTGTCTTACACCTCTCTGCAGTTGAATATGATTCGTAATGACTCGAAAACAGCACTTAGACGCGGCTCATAAGGGAAATATATCTGTAGTTCTTCAAGAGAGCGTAATCGCTTTTCTTGAAAAATAAGACCACTGCACTTCTGCACCAAGCCTCCGGAGTAGTGCCATCGTAAATGACGAAATTGAAGAGATTCTGAAAGACTTTAAGTACCGGTTTTCCGCCCGCTTTCAAAAACTCCGCTGTAATTCCATCTTCACCTGGGGCCTTGCCGTTTTTAACAAGATAGAGAGCCTTCTTTTCTTGCTCAGACTGACTTCCGGGATATCATAGTGTCGGAATAGACTTGCTCTTGGATCGTTATTCACACTTGCGTGTGGCTCCAACGATAGTATTCAGCTGCTCATAGAACCTCTCAATCTCACTCAAAATCTCAGGTGTCCCAGAAACGACGCTGCCACACTCATTCTTCAGCTTTGACAATTGGCTCTCTCTGGTAGACAGATCTCTGGCAAAGACTTTGGAGCTCTGGTTCCGTTCGATCGCTTCTTCAATACGAGCAGTATTAAATTTACGTAAGTATTTGGAGATCTGTCTGTTCAGTTGCTTGTATGCTGTCAAATCTGTTGAAGACTGCAGCTTAATTTTCCGTCTAACAGCCATGAGATTAAAAAATGTGATCGGAGAGTTTTTGTGTTCTTCTGCGGCGAGTCTTGCAAAACTTAGCTCCGACCGCGTGGACAGTTTTCACTAGCTTATCATTCATATCGTCCACTACATTGCAGTCTTTTAGGCACTGAAAACGGTTTTGTGACTCGAGCTGAAAGGTTTCGGGACTTTGGATTATAGCACGAGGTGGACGGAGCGTTGTCTTCTTTAGACGAGACCTCCAACATAACGTTTAGGTTCAGTGCGCCTTTAACATTCGGTGATCGCTGCCAGTTTTCACCCTTGCGATCACTGAGACATTTCTGAACAGTTGCCGTCTCGTCGTCATAATGAAGTCAATCTCATTTTTTATCGTACCGTCGGGGCTCGACCAGGTCCACTTTCTGTGGAGCCAGTCAAGTCAGCCAGCTGCTGGCCCCTTATGTTCCGTTGCCCTATCCCAAATTTACCTACCGTCAGCTCACCTTTCTTCCTTTTGCCTAGTTTTGCGTTGA